TAACAAGCTGAGATTAGGAGCACTCCCTTTAAGAGTGTGCTCCTAATCTCAGCTCGTTACCTGTATAAAAGACACCTGGGAGACAGAAATCTTTCTGATTGAGAGGGGGTCAAATACTTATTTCCCTCATTAAAATGCTAATCAATTTATAAATTTTTGACATGCGTTTTTCTGGATTTTTTTGTTGTTATTCTGTCTCTCACTGTTCAAATAAACCTACCATTAAAATTATAGACTGATCATTTCTTTGTTAGTGGGAAAACGTACAAAATCAGCAGGGGATAAAATACTTTTTTCCCTCACTGTATGTCGACCATTTCATCTTCCCCACAGAAAAATGCTGGAACGATAGCGGCTTTGGCACTGACACCCAGCTGATCCTATTTGCAAAGGTAAATGTCAGCGTTGTCCATGGCCGAGATACTGAGATACACACTCTGACTTCTGTCTGTGAAGGAGGAGAAGAGGGGTATTCGAAAGGCATGGACAGAAGTGTCAGATCACCATCAGTGCAAGCTCAGAGAAGGGACGTATGCAAACCGTGAAAAGTGTGTTTTCTCCCGAACTGTCACTGTAATATGGGCCAACATTTTGGATTGAAAATAAGTGATTTTGACCCAGTGTCAAATAGATCTCAGATAGTTGGGGACTTGGAGTGTAAACTGAGAGAAAAAAGTGAGAATATTCTGTAGGCCCTGTTTCAAAACAGATAAACAAACTGACAAAACCTATCAAATGATATCAGGTCATCCACTGCAAGCAACAAATAACAGCAGAAGTAAAATAAATAACACCTCTAACTGAAACAAATGGTTTGTTTAATACGAATTCAATCATCCTTGAATCAACGTCAATCTCCCTTTTTACCCAGTCTTTAATTCATCAATTCACCTTCACTCCCTGTCACACACACGCACACACACACACACCTCCACTACACACACACCGTAACCCTCCCCCCACATAAAGGTTATGACGCCGCTGAAATATCAAATATCAAAGCCTTCAGGTGAGCGGATAGGAATTCTAAATACACCCTGTGGACGTGTGGTATTCACCAAAGGCAAGAAGGGCTACTCATAAGACATAACCCAATACCCAATAACCCAGTACCTGTGTGAAGGTAGCCTGCCTTAGCCTTGCAACTGGGGCTTGGAATGCAATTAAGAAGCTGACCATCCTAAAAAGACAAAAGGATGTCAAACTCACTTACAGTCAGGTACAAAACATTTGGCACCTTTGATAAAGATGAGCAAAAAATACTGTATAAAATTATTGTTTTACTGAGCTATATTGTATGCAAAAAAGAAAAGGGAAATGATATGGTGTGCATGGCCAACAAGCTCTATTTTCATGTCATCTGACCATAGCACAGGTTCCAACTCAGGTGCCAATGCCATTTAGCAATCTCTAGGCATTTACATTTGTTGGATGACATGAAAATAGAGCCCTTTGGCCACGCCAGTAGTGGGTTTGGTGTTGAAAGAAAGATGCATATGGAGAAAAGAACCCCATACCTACTCTAAAATATGGTGGTGGATATTTGATGTTATGGATGTTTTGCTTCCACTGGTCCTGGGGCACTTGTTTAGGTCAACGGCATGAACTTTACCCAGGAAAATGACATTTTAGCCAAAAACATGGCTGTGTCTGCTGGGAGGCTAAAACTTGGCCGCAAGTGGATCTTTCAGCAAGACAATAAGCACATGTGAAAATCCATAAAGAAATTGTTAATTGACCACAAAATCAACATTTTGCATCTCGCTGTATCCATAATTTCCTTTGATTTCAGTCCACGGTTCTCTCTGTTCTCTCTGTTCTCTCTGCTTCATTGTGCCAGCGCTGCCAAAACTGCATCACCATGCATCTTATTGTGTTTGAGTTCCACCAGGCCTGTGCTATCTAGTTTAATCTTGTCTGTCTAAGGTTTGTGTGTATGTGTGTGTGTGTGTTCATGTCTGTTTGTGCAATTGCATACATGTGGGTGTGTGTCTGCATCCCTAGAAGATACATATACATCCTCCAAAAAAAACACCTCCTCCAGCTTTATCCTCACCAGAAAGACCCCCCTCCACAACACCTTCTCCAGCTTTATCCTCACCAGAAAGACCCCCCTCCACAACACCTTCTCCAGCTTTATCCTCACCAGGAAGACCCCCTCCACAACACCATTTAGTTATAGTCTATTGTATTCTAATCTATTGGGCTCTGAGTCATCCTTCTTTCACTTGACTAATGACACTAATCCTGCTATCTGTAACAGGCAACTAACCTAATGCAGACAAGGGGCCAATCAAATCCCCATACGCACTGTAGGGCAAGTGAGTTAGAGACTGGAGAAGTAAACCTGAGATACACTGAGTAAACCTGAGATACACAAATAAACATGAGATACACTGAGGCTTTATTCTAGCGACGCTGAACTGTGGCAATACTGATTGTTTCCCCCAGTGGTAGGAATTACAAATAACCACATAAATAACAGTAGCGAGGCTATATACACAGGGTACCGGTACAGAGTCAATGTGCGGGGGCACAGGTTAGTCGAGGTAATTGATAAACAATGAGTTGTTTAACGTTCACTTCAAACAGGCCATAGGCAGTGTGTTGGGTTACCTGCTATGTAATTGTGGTGCTGGGTGACTAGGCTGCAAATAGTGTATGCAGGTGATTGACTCCAAACTCATTGGTTGTGAGTTAGAATTTTTTTTATTTTGGAATGTTGGAAACTGTGAGCTTGTTTGACTGTCTGAAGAAATTTGACTTATTTCTGTTTATAAGTGAAACGTTTTTTGCTCACTTTTTTTCAAATGTTGAAAGGAAGTGTGAATAAATGCATCTCCAACATGTCAACTATCTAAGAACAGCATGATTTGGTTGATGTACGGAATGTGGTAAATTGACGTTCTTCATCTGACATTGTGTGTCTGAGTGGGAGACTACAGGGGGCTGACAGGAACATTATTTGGGAAAAACAAAGTTATGTCAGCCAACTGGGGTTCTCCTCTTGACATACAAAAAATTAATTTGAAAACCAGAAATCTGAATAAGGATATCATTAAACACAGAGAACACTTTTATTAAAAGACTGGTGCTAAGGGAACGAAGGTTGAACTTAACCAGGCTAGATAGTGATAGGCTTCATGATAGACTGGCAATAGATACATGGATATAAACTGGATATTTTTGTTCAATCAATGTTCATTGTCTGTCTGTGCTAATGTCATTTTATCTACACTATCAGCTTTTTCTGAGGTGAATTGTCTGCTCTCATAAACACTTCTAACTACGTAATGAAACCAAAACCCCATATCCCCAAGTGACCACAGTAACTGCAATGTGTACTGAATACTTGAACTCAACGGTACCACCAAGTTAACGTTTTGATGAACATATCCTTTACGCAATCCATTAGGGACCCAAGGCCTTGTCTCACAGGTCCAACAAGGATGTTAAGAATGGAATACAACTCGAGTCGAGGGGACTTGTGTTTTTTAAAAGGTTTGTCTTCACTTCTCCCTTGAGACTTCCACGACTAGCTTCCCAACCCACCCCAACCCAATACATCTCAGACTATAAACACATTCACATTGCTCGCTTTGAAGCAACTGCAGGGAGGGTCTTACATGAATAACTGAACTGCACAAAATAACTCGGGCCTGACGTTGTCTAGCATAACAGCTCTTGTCAAAATATTTATAAGACAAGCAGCTCTAATACTGGAGTCAATTAGGAGACTTCGACAGTTGAAAAGACCCAGAGGAACACAGAAGAACAAGAATAAAAAAAGTTCAGTATTATGTTGCATTGTTTCCATACTTTCCACCCTCATACTTTTTTGAGACGTGTCACAGACGCTCTAATTATATTGCCCTTAGTCAGAAAGAGAGGAACAGCTACATCAACGGTAATCATGACTTTGCTCTGCCCACACGTTCTGCGATAAGAGTCAAGAAAGGTCACCCAGAGTCTTAGAACTTGAAATATAATAGTTTACTCCAGACATTGAGTAAAGAGATAGAGATTGACCTGCATTGAGTACAAAAAGACTGAAGACAAATCGTAAAGTGATCTGACAACGCTTGAGACACTGCTGTTTGAATATAGAAAAAACAAAATATGTTATCAGTACAGAACAGACTGTTTTAAAGTTGCACTTGTATGGACTCCCAATGAAATATACTACATTATCTAATTTACTAATCACCATCAGATTCCATGTTGCATCAATGCTTAAGGAATCATTCCATCAGAACTGTACGTATCTCATCTGAGAGTGTTCCATGTTCACAAAGGTATCTCTTCTGAGAGTGTTCCATGTTCACAAAGGTATGTCTTCTGAGAGTGTTCCATGTCCACAAAGGTATGTCTTCTGAGAGTGTTCCATGTTCACAAAGGTATCTCTTCTGAGAGTGTTCCATGTCCACAAAGGTATCTCTTCTGAGAGTGTTCCATGTCCACAAAGGTATGTCTTCTGAGAGTGTTCCATGTCCACAAAGGTATGTCTTCTGAGAGTGTTCCATGTCCACAAAGGTATGTCTTCTGAGAGTGTTCCATGTCCACAAAGGAATGTCTTCTGAGAGTTCCATGTCCACAAAGGTATGTCTTCTGAGTGTTCCATGTCAACAAAAGTATGTAGTCTGAGAGTGTTCCGTGTCCACAAAGGTATGTCTTCTGAGAGTCTTCCATGTCCACAAAGGCCCATCCTTTTAATGCAAACAAAATATCACCAACATCTATAGTGTGCATTAAACAGACCAAAAGCTTCTGTTACAAACTCATATAGTCTGTATTCTCCAACGAAGGCCATCACAGACAGAAAGCATAGCAAATTACAATCTCTGGATCAGTCCAGGTCATTGTTATGACTGATATTGGGGTCAGATAGCAAACCAAGGTGTCAGTCTTCTCCCTCCTCCAATTTAACCAGACTCCCCTGTTGTGATAGCCATCTCGGTAGCCAGGTAAGACTCATTGACCATAATGGTAGGTCTTCTTCACAGGGGGTTATAAGGGATGTGACCTGTGTGTGAATGGGGGGTATAGAGCTCTCCACAGCATGAGACTACTGTACAGTGAAGGTTATAGGTGAGAGCACTGGTGTATAAGAGTGCATAGTCACTGAATGTGGTTTGCAGGCCTATAGTGCTGACATCTTCTCATGAATATTAGAATGTTCCATAGTAGTTACAAGTAAAGTTACTGTGTATTTGTAATCATGTTATAACACAAACGTGTTTATTGCATCTAACTAATTGCCATGGTAATTAAATGAGCTAACGTCAAACGGATAATAGTAATCAATATTCTAATCAAAACTTCAAGAAGGTAAATAAATCATTACAGTGGGGGAAAAAAGTATTTAGTCAGCCACCAATTGTGCAAGTTCTCCCACTTAAAAAGATGAGAGAGGCCTGTAATTTTCATCATAGGTACACGTCAACTATGACAGACAAATTGAGAAAAAAAATCCAGAAAATCACATTGTAGGATTTTTAATTTATTTATTTGCAAATTATGGTGGAAAATAAGTATTTGGTCACCTACAAACAAGCAAGATTTCTGGCTCTCACAGACCTGTAACTTCTTCTTTAAGAGGCTCCTCTGTCCTCCACTCGTTACCTGTATTAATGGCACCTGTTTGAACTTGTTATCAGTATAAAAGACACCTGTCCACAACCTCAAACAGTCACACTCCAAACTCCACTATGGCCAAGACCAAAGAGCTGTCAAAGGACACCAGAAACAAAATTGTAGACCTGCACCAGGCTGGGAAGACTGAATCTGCAATAGGTAAGCAGCTTGGTTTGAAGAAATCAACTGTGGGAGCAATTATTAGGAAATGGAAGACATACAAGACCACTGATAATCTCCCTCGATCTGGGGCTCCACGCAAGATCTCACCCCGTGGGGTCAAAATGATCACAAGAACGGTGAGCAAAAATCCCAGAACCACACAGGGTGACCTAGTGAATGACCTGCAGAGAGCTGGGACCAAAGTAACAAAGCCTACCATCAGTAACACACTACGCCGCCAGGGACTCAAATCCTGCAGTGCCAGACGTGTCCCCCTGCTTAAGCCAGTACATGTCCAGGCCTGTCTGAAGTTTGCTAGAGTGCATTTGGATGATCCAGAAGAGGATTGGGAGAATGTCATATGGTCAGATGAAACCAAAATAGAACTTTTTGGTAAAAACTCAACTCGTCGTGTTTGGAGGACAAAGAATGCTGAGTTGCATCCAAAGAATACCATACCTATTGTGAAGCATGGGGGTGGAAACATCATGCTTTGGGGCTGTTTTTCTGCAAAGGGACCAGGACGACTGATCCGTGTAAAGGAAAGATTGAATGGGGCCATGTATCGTGAGATTTTGAGTGAAAACCTCCTTCCATCAGCAAGGGCATTGAAGATGAAACGTGGCTGGGTCTTTCAGCATGACAATGATCCCAAACACACCACCCGGGCAACGAAGGAGTGGCTTCGTAAGAAGCATTTCAAGGTGCTGGAGTGGCGTAGCCAGTCTCCAGATCTCAACCCCATAGAAAATCTTTGGAGGGAGTTGAAAGTCCGTGTTGCCCAGCGACAGCCCCAAAACATCACTGCTCTAGAGGAGATCTGCATGGAGGAATGTGGCAAAATACCAGCAACAGTGTGGGAAAACCTTGTGAAGACTTACAGAAAACGTTGTGTCATTGCCAACAAAGGGTATATAACAAAGTATTGAGAAACTTTTGTTATTGACCAAATACTTATTTTCCACCATAATTTGCAAATAAATTCATTAAAAATCCTACAATGTGATTTTCTGGAAAAATAATTCTCATTTTGTCTGTAATAGTTGACGTGAACCTATGATGAAAATTACAGGCCTCTCTCATCTTTTTAAGTGGGAGAACTTGCACAATTAGTGGCTGACTAAATACTTTTTTACCCCACTGTATAAGACTGCAGAAGAATATTCAATAAACCAATATGGTGCCGTTGAAACCAGGATGGAAAAAAGGTAAAACATCAACAGCTTGGAGCTTTATCCGACTTTGTATCACAGTTTGAAATCCAAAACATACTGTATCAAACAACCAACTGTGGTGAAAAATCGACATGGAGCTCACCTTCTGGTCGTGGTTGTAGGCTAGGGCCTAATCCTCCTGTGTTGCGTGGAACAGGAGGCTTAGGATGTAGAAGCTGAGGCGATATTTCTGATAGCTCGCTCCTTCATCTGAGCTGATGAGCAAACTACTCTCAAACTCAGGGTCTGTCAGCACCATTATCTGGAAGAGAGGGAGAGGGGGTGGGATGGAGAGAGAGAGAGAGAAGGAGGGTGGGGGTGAGAGAGAGAGAGAGAGAGAGAGAGAGAGAGAGAGAGAGAGAGAGAGAGAGAGAGAGAGAGAGAGAGAGAGAGAGAGAGAGAGAGAGAGGAGAGAGAGAGAGAGAGAGAGAGAGAGAGAGAGAGTTAGCCATTGTCAGCGCTCCAGGTCTAGTGCTTGGCATGCATCAAGCTGCTACTAGCGCTAACATCTTCACTTTGTTTTAGACTTCATTTTACAAATGTGCCTCTCGCCTCTGTTGCCATGGTTTTTTGGCCTCTTCCAGTGCACTGACAGGTCTGCACTCACCCCTCTCCAAATACATCCCCTTTAATGAGATAGAGGTGGTTCAGAATACCCCTGTGGATCTACAAGTCAACTGTGAGGGGCCACAACACATCTACAACCAAAAGTTGCTATGTTAAAGAATAGGATAAGTTTTAAGAATACATTTTTTAGAATATACTGTAGATCAATAGCCTGTTGTGCTATGGTATTCTGTAACACAGCTGTGTAGCAAGAGAGAACTCCATAACTTTGCATTTACCATGCGTGACTACATGTCTAGACAATGCTTTTTTTTGGTTGCTATATCTAAATCTGTGACAAGAAATAACAAATATTTGTGGAATTAAGAATCATTCCTTTGTGGAATGCTCTATCATACCACAGTGGGAGGAATCCTAATTCCATACTAGGACTAAAACAGTTTCTACTTTCATTTCGTCATGAATTCAATGAAAATGTAAATGTATTGCTGCACATTTGTTAGAAATGAGCCTCTCAAGAAAGCAATAACAGAGCAATATCTGTCAAACTAAAATCATAATAGGAACAGTAATGTACATATTATTACAATTATGTAAATTAGAGTACATGTTCATACTATAATTAAGCATTAAGGCACAAGGGTGTGTGGTATATGGCCAATATACCACGGCTAAGGGCTGTTCTTAGGCACAACGCAACGCCCCATATACCACAAACCCCCGAGGTGCCTTATTGCTATTATGAACTGGTTACCAACGTAATTAGAGCAGTAGCAAGACATGTTTTGTCATACCCGTGGTAAACGGTCTGATATACCACAGATGTCAGCCAATCAGCATTCAGGGCTCGAACCACCCAGTTTATAATACCAAAGATACTGTGAAAGTACACAATGTTGATACAACTTAATTAAGATAAAGCCCTTTGTTTGGAAGCAAGTATAATATATAATATGAAATACTACATTGTAACAAAATCTGACCTTATTGGTGTACTGTCTATATATTGGTATAATATGAGGGGAAGTAAAGCAGACATTTTCATTACAGTTCATTACTCTCAAAACACAGACATATCCCTAAAAAGCATTTCCACTATATAGAACCAGGGCCTTTTTTCTCAAAGTAATCCATATATATCTGGATTAATAAGACATGCTTAGCTCAAATATGCTTTCTCTTTGTGATTTAATGCAATACAACATTAACCTGACACCTGGCTTTGATGATAATAAAACGACTAAAACCAGACAGAAAAAGTGTGACTTGAATTCTTTCCCTGCAACAGATTTGAATTGGAAAAAACAGCAGTGCATTTGTCACTGACAAAAATAATACCCTCTTTCCCCAGCTTTAACTAGGAATCCTCCCCACCCCTCTTACCCCAGCTTTAACTAGGAATCTTCCCTGGTGGTGATTTAGATCAATTGTTTTTCATTAAGAACCAATAAACAGACTGTGGATTCTGTGCCAGTTTTTCTATCTTTTATTTTTTCCTTCTATTTTTTGTTGTTGGCCTGACCTTCCAATTGTGCCATTCATTACCCTCACTGAGGTATGAGGGACAGCGAAGGGCCCCCTCTATTTCTCCCAGTGTCTTAGGGCCTTGTCACATGTAATTTATAGTTTCTAAGGTCAGGTCTAATCATTTTCCATAATATTGTATGAAGCGACAGCGTTTATTATGAGTGGAAATTGCATTTCACCTTGCATTTTTGATTCTTCTGTCAGGCCCTTTCTCTCTGTCTCACCATTTAGAGAGGAAAGTACAAATGCTAGACGTCCTTGAAGGGTCTGGGTGGATCGGTGTTTCTTCACTACTGAACAGGGAGACAGTGTACATTTCTCAGCTCTAATAATAATTTAGCAGAGACCTTTTCAACCAGGCTTGCTTTATATTTACTCTAATACACTTCATATTAAGACATATCTATCTCTATTGAGGGCTTGTTGTGTAGCTGTGGGTATAGCTGTACTCTGTATATCCACTATATCACCGTTGCTTTTATTGGACGGCATAATATACACTGTATATGTTGAGAATAAAAGGAATGGAGAAGTCTGGAAATGTATTAATTGCCAAAGATCATTCATCTTTAACCAACCTGATTTAATTTCTTGCACTGTAAATATTATTTGCCATGTGAAATATTCAAGAATAATCCCTGTTCACACATTATTTATCTTACAAAATGTAGGAAATGTACTGGACAAATAGCATAACTGGACTAAAAGCCTTCTCATAACCCATCCCTCAGTAGATTGAATTCATTTCCTTTCTGAGATTGTCCATCTGTTCCTGAATCAGTTTTAACAGGCACTAAGTTCCACGAGGGGAGCTTACGTAACAGCCCACATCATTGTCAATAACTTTCACATCACCAAACATACCATTGCCAGGTAATTAAGATTTCGCTCCACATCCACTTGGCAATTTATCACCAATGCGTCTCCCGGGAACCAAGAGGTGTGAGGTGGGTAACAAAGCTTATATCAATACAGGTTGGAAGGATAACCTCTGCATGTTATCTGCTGATGTTCAGCTAGTCGCTGGGAGTCGAGCGACTGAGCTCGTCATACGAGGATGAGTGCGATAGTCATTGCCATATTGTCTGAGGGGCTGCAGCTTGCTGTTGGACGGTGCTCGAGCCATCTGATGACCACAAACAAAGGGAGGAGAGGAGGAGAGGATGCCTCAGAGCAGATTACCGGTAATCATGATAAACACAGATCAATTGCGGTCTATCTGTGAGTGAGCACTGTATAGGGAAGGTATAAATAGGCTCATTTCCAGTGAATTGGGATATCAATCTAGCTACAACCATAGAAATAGAATGTCTATTCATTCTATGTCTATGTATATTAATTATATTTACATGTCTAGAAAGCTAGACTCTTCATTATAAGCAGTGGTTGTGAGTCAAACCGTGCAAAAGACCTAGGAATAAGGCTGAACATGCATAAGGGCAATTCATGATGGGTGTCTTCTTTAAAAGCTTGACGATAAATGTCAGCACCATCATTCAAATCTATTATCTGCTCTTAGAAAGGTCAAGCCTCTGGCTTTTTTCCTTTAGACAACATGTGAGAATATAGTCGGTGATGTTAACAGAATCTTGCTGTGTGGAAAACAATCGATTGTCATTCTAGCTATTTATTTTTGTGTAGGAGAAAAAACATAATTAAATACATAAACATATTGTCACAATGATTTAAGGGACATTACTGCCTCATCTCAACAGAGATAGAGATAACTGTCTTCCTGTTTTTCCCATGCTAGACACACAGATGCTAAGCTTAGCCACTCGAATGCAATGAGGACAAAACAATTCCCAGCTTATCCACGAGAGAGTTGGGCTCATCCATAATGAGATAAGAGATAAGGTTAGGAGGATTGTGGGTCGGTGGAAGCCAGAGGTGAATGGCGGTTGTGTACAAAGCGTGGCTCTAACGAGGGCATCTGGACAACCTAGGATCTCGTGACTAGCTTTTACTACAACGTAATTCCCTAACTGGGGTGAACCAAACTGCAACATCCTCAGTCTATCACCATGATAGGGAAACGATAAGCCCTTGCAGCAGATCTGTTGTCTGTCCTGTGTGTCTTTGACTTGGTTATCCCTGTACCTGGGAAATGTGCTGGATACTCTACCTTCAACCAGACTATAGGGTCTATCGCCAAGTCTGGCCAGCCAGTGGGAAAATAGTCACAGGGTCAGACTGAGGTATTAAGTCTGTCAGTTCAGTATCCCACAAACCCTCTCTTTCCATGGAAGGATTTTCAGGGTCAGCGCTAGGGATTTAAGGACTGATTTGACTCTCTTCGGGAGATTAGGCCCAGAAAGCCAGCTGGGGCTCTTTTCCCTTCACGTTACCGACACAGAAAAGTGCATCCACGGAAGGTTTGTTAGTGAGGGACCTTAGCATGACCCTTAAAAAAGTTCAGAAGCCACCTGTGTTATAATTCAACAATAAGGCTTGAGGGGGTGTGGCATATGGCCAATGCATTCAGAAAGTATTCAGACCCCTTCCCTTTTTCCACATTTTGTTATGTTTCAGCCTTATTGTAAAATTGATTTAAAAAATATATATCCTCATCAATCTACACACAATACCCCATAATGACAAAGCAAAAACAGGTTTTAGAAATGTTAGCAAATTTATAAAATATAATAAAACAGAAATACCTTATTTACATAAGTATTCAGACCCTTTGCTATGAGACTCGAAATTGAGCTCAGGTGCATCCTGTTTCAATTGATCGTCCTTGAGATGTTTCTACAACTTGATTGGAGTCCACCTGTGGTAAATGTAATTGATTGGACATGATTTGGAAAGGCACACACCTGTCTATATAAGGTCTGACAGTTGACAGTGCATGTCAGAGCAAAAACCAAGCCATGAGGTCGAAGGAATTGTCCGTAGAGCTCAGAGACAGGATTGTGTCGAGGCACATATCTGCGGAAGGGTACCAAAACATTTCTGCAGCATTGAAGGTCCTCAAGAACACAGTGGCCTCCATCATTCTTAAATGGAAGAAGTTTGGAACCGCCCAGCCTAACTGAGCAATCAGGGGAGAAGGGCCTTGGTCATGGAGGTGACCAAGAACCCGATGATCACT